CCACGGGGGCCCCGCCCATCTGGGCTGGGGAATATGGGGCTGGTGGCCACCTCCTCACAAGCTGTTTCTACTCCTGAGCAACTGAGGTTGCTGTAGCTTCAATGAGAACCGCTTTTAAAATGCACTAAACCGAGCCGGTAGCAGAGCCCGGGGCTATTTTTATCGCGGACCTGAGTGAGCCAGACCCCGCCAACTGTGTTCCGACCCTGATATGCGTTATGTGGCTTCACGCCGAGCTACTGTGGGCAAAAAGAGGGTTAGAAGCTTCTAGGGAGCCTCATGAAGGAAGGATCCCTCTCTGCAGTGCCTCAAATGCCGTGATGCCAAGACCTGCCAGGCAGAGGGAGGCACACCATGCCAGTCAGAGCCACGCAGAGGCAACTGCAGGGCTGTGTCAGCTGCCGTCCCTCCAGCACGCAAACAAGGTCTTCTCCTCCAGGAGCAGCAGCATCTGTGCATACAAACCTTGACCCCTCTTCCCCACTCCTGCCCCCATGGGCAGAAGAAATGGAAAGGGTGCCAGACTGAAGATGGGGGCCAGAGAGCCCCCCTTGGGTCTGCATGCGCATCCTGGGAGGAAGACCCAAAGGGAAACATGCAGTTGCCCAGATGTCGTGTCAAGCCTGTTTGGACTTCCACTTGAGAAAGAGGCAAGGGACCCCCCAGGACCATGGCATGAATTCTGTCTCTGCACAGTCTTTGGGGGGGGGTCCTTCCCAGGAAGTTCAAGGGTTAAACCTGGGACCTTCTGCGCTGCCCTGGGAGCCTCGTGATTCTAGGCCCGTGCTCAGGAGGGGCCTGCACAGTCTCCTTCGAGGGCAAGGGCCATCAGCAGAGGAACACGGAGGGCTTCCACAGCTTCCTGCCCGAGGGGCGTTCGTGCTTGAGCTGTGCAGGGCATCCCTGCCTTCCTTCCATTAGCAAGGACAGGAAGAAGTCAAAGTGTGCCCCGAACCACCTTCCCAAACCTGGCGCCCCTGACTGAGCAGGCCCCAGTGGATCTGAAACAGACCCCCTTAGGGAGGCCGA